GATAAAAACACTATAGGGAGAGACCTGTAGACATCTGTACATGCAAAGATATTTTGAGGAACACGTCATGTCTAAACCCATGTAAGAGGCACCACATATATCTTCAGAACTTATGCGATGTGACCCACTGGTTATTAGAGCAGTGAGGAGGACACGTCTCTAGTACTTCATTCTGTTATGGAGCATTACTCTGCTTGTGGTCTTCACAGGCTTCACATCTTTCCAGGCCTACATGCAGTGTGAAGATTCTTACGGGTCTCCTTGATCCTCACTGGGCAGTATCATTGGCACTCATGACCATAGTGCTTGATCTTTTCTCAACATTGCTGCTATAGAAGATTAATGATTCAATCTCCACTGTTGGAAAGAACTTAGACATGTGAACACCTAGCAATAACCACCACCCTTAGCAATAATTGGGAAAAATAAATTGCTAGTGAAGTTAGTTTAAGATGTTTTTGTTAGTTACTTTGATGTAGGAAATTTAGGGAATGATTTGAAATTCAGAAAGACACACTCTTAATAATTGAGCTTGGAAACTTTTGAGGTCAGAAAACAAGAAAAATGACATCTCAAGTAGCACTGGATGACATGACTCTTACTGAGGCCAGATTGGTGATTTAGGCAATGACTAATTTCCTGCCCCCACTTTCCTGATGTGATTTAATAAAAACAATTGTGAATGAGCATATGTGTATCATGAGTATTGACTTTTTTTTTAGATTTGTGATTATTTTAAGATTTTTGTAAGATTGCTTTTTAAGATAAATAATAAAATAATTGTTCTTGTCTTTTGATTACAAATTGCAGCCTGCCAGTAAAAGAAACTGGCTGAGAATATTACCTTGCCAGCTAACACTTTGTTAATCTATAACAGATTGCTTAGTTACGAATCAATATGGGTTATGGAGAATAAGTTTTTAACCTGAATTACAGAAAATGATTTTAATACAGAAAATGATTTTAATATAAATATATTGGGGAAACATACTGATATATATATATATATATATATATATATATATATATATATATTCATTCATTCACTAAAAGAAAAATAGAATATTATCACATAGTGACTTCTATGCTGCTTGAAAGATTTTCTGAGCTTTATATGCTCTTGAATAAGCAATACTATTGTTGGAGATTGTTAAATTTTGCCTCATTTCTTTTGTGTGTGTGTGTTTTATTTTTCCCCCTTTTCCTTTTAGATTCTATTTTTCACATTCATTTTGACTTCCTGAGGAGTCACAGAGACTCAGAGAGACAGGAGAGGGCTGATAGTGAGAAAGGAAATTTCAGACATTTCACCCCATCTCAGTTTTCCCTGGATGCCAAAATATGTCTTTTATAGGTGCAAAAGGACGGGAACAAATGTAAAAGTAAACCTTTGTTCTCCTAATAAATCAAGAAGCTTCCACACAATTATGGAAACAAGGTAAAGATATACACAAAAGAGATATGGAAGATGTTTAAAAAACATTTTGCAGCCAAATAAGTGGAAATTGAGAATATATTCCTGAGCGATGTAGCCCATATCCAGGTAGACACTCATGGTATGTAGTCTTTCATAAGTAGACATTAGCAGTAAAGTGCAGGACAGTCATGCTACAAACCACAGACTGAAAGAAAATAGGAAATAAGGAGTTCTCAAGGAAGAATTTGTGAATCTCACTCAGAACAGGAATAAAAGGGTCATCAGAATTGGAGAGAGAGAAATAAGTGGGTATGAGAGAGGGTGAGGAGGGGAACAGGGATGGTGATATGATGTGGGGACATGGGAGACTGGAGAGGTCTGGTAGTGAGAACAGACATAAATGGGTGCCATCTCTTGAACTAGGTGGAGACTGGGTTGGGGTAGGCTATGGATGTGACCATAGCAGGGATTCTTACCAGCACAGGATACAGAAACTATAGTGGCCACCTTCTGTATCCAGGCAAAACCTCCAGTGCACGGAGGGAAACATCAACCCACTTACTAAAACTTCAACATCAAATTTGTCCTGCCTACAAAATACACAGAGATAAAGATTGAGCAGGACTGAGAGAAAAGTCAAGGATGATTGACCCAATGTGAGGTGTGTCCCATGGGTGAAAGCCAAACCTGGACACTATTGATGATACTTGCTATACCTTCTGACAAGAATATAGCATAACTGTCAGTGTCACTATTTAGACCTTTTGTCCAGATAGAGCACCTGGAAGATCCCTGCCATGCAGAAAGCATAACAATAGAAAGTGATTATGACAAGGACTGGGGGAAGACTCATGCCATACTGGGGCAGTGCCAGTTGCTGCTTTGGATTATATCTTAGGGGAGATTCTCTGGCAGTTAAACATGCAAGGTCATTATACTGGTGTCCTTATTTTTTGGACAAGTGGAAAAGCCCTGATAGTTTGTGGTTGGAATTTGGGTAATCCTGATGAACTATTAGCAGCAGGAGAAGAAATAAACAATATTAGATAGTCAATAGATAAGGATTTGGTGATTTCCTATTGTTGAAGGGTACTGAGGCATTGTAAAGGTGTTCCCTAATCCTCCATAGCCTATGAGACACTTGGATGGTCCATGGTAGATGGCGGGTGGCATCAGGTATGATATTTACCTTTCTTATATCTATGGAAACTTAATTTAATTAAAACACAAAGTATGAGTTGAGTTTTAAGACAGTAGGACATAAAATGTTGCTGTATAACAGAGATTTCCCATACTTGAAGAAACAGACAGGCTAAAAGAGAGAACCTGGAGGAAAACAATCCATGTATGAAGACACAGTGAGACCTGGAGAATCTGCTCCCATCAGAAAATATTGAGTCAACCTCTGTTTTAAGTAAAACAGTAAGGATCCCATGATCAATGGGTGAACTCAGTCAGAAGGCATGGGCATTGTCAGTACACATGCCCTAAAATAGCTGGAATAATAAGGTTGAGTATTGACACTGGTTTTGGGGAACAATGAATGTTTTATTGTCTGACAGTATATATAGTGTTTAATGATTATTTACTCACCTGGAAACTCATCAAGATATATATATATATGTGTGTGTGTGTGTGTGTGTGTGTGTGTGTGTGTGTGTGTGTGGTGTGTGTGTGTGTGAAGATTATTTTATACCCACGTGATGGCTATTTTTATTGTCAATGTGACTACAAACAAAAATGGAGAGCACATCTGTTAGTGATTTCTGCTTTAAGTGGGAAGATATACTTTCTAACTTGCATCTCTGAAGTATGATGACACACATTTACTCTACATTTTAATCCAGATCTAATTTGCACCATGTTTTCTGTTGGAAACCTGTATAAGCACATGGTAATACAAAGCATTTCATATACATTGCTTGCTCATCTTATTCAATCCAGAACCACCAGCACAGGTGTTACAACACATATAATTGTCTAAGACCTGCCATTTTGAACTCTATTTAGAGAAATATCTCACCGTCTTGTCTATAGCCTGGTCTTATGAAGGCATTCCACCCTCTGATGACTCGAGCTTGTGTCAAATTGACTGAGAACCTTCAAGGACTCCCAATTTACCTCCATAGTTTTCATAAAAATAGTAACTTATATTAGTATATTTCCACTATTCTCATGGACAAGTCCAGGCTGACAACACATAAGAGAAGGACATAGCTATGTGATTGCTAAAAGCATACTGAGGGTATCCTTATAAGAGTTCAGAGTATAGGCCTCCACAGAGAATCCATCACTGAGAGTAGAGTACTGGGATCAGGAAATGGAATTATCACATTTGATTTTAAATTAAAATGTCACTTTCCTTGTCTACTCTACAGAACTTAGATACTTGAGACACATGGTCTTGTAAGTGTAATATGTGGCATGTGCCCCAAAATATTTTTAAATATTGGAGAACAATGGTCCCATTACAAGAACAAAGACCCCTTTCTCTCCATTTTTATAACATTTATTTTCTTCTTTCTTTTAGAGAATGGCTTTCACGCCGTTTGTTATAGGAAACAGAATTTTGAATTTAATCTCCATTTTGTGGAGGAAAGAGAGGTTGGCTTTATGTAACCTGTTCTGTCCACATACATTGACCAAGATCAATGAGACTAATCAGAGAATGGAGGACAGAAAGATGTCCACCAATGAGGACACCATGTCTCAGTCCTGTGTTTTCTGATCCCTGTGTTATCCTGTGAACCCACATCTCAGACAAGTGATGGGAATGAGTTGTTTTTGAGAAGAGAAATAAGACTGATCTCCTTGAGAAACAGTGCCCTTAACTATAATACTGAAGAGTGTCGATTCAAGTAAAATATTTCTTAATCAAAATGAGGAATGAGCTTTTGAAATACTAACATCTGAATCTACTTAGTATACCTATGTTTGAGAAGAACTCTTCCTTGACTACCTCATAGCACAAGATTAGCAATGTTTACATTTTTCAATAATAATATTATGGCCTTGGCGACATTTAATAATAGCATATTATGTTCTTTACATACGGAGAGCTGATCTTTTGTGTTAGCCCTCAGAAAGATAGCTGTGTCTTCATTAAGTTGTGGATATATGTTTAAAACTTTATATTATTGAATATGAGTACAATTAATCTCAAAGATCAATTAAGTACAGTAAACAGTAGAACTGTTACAAAACTGCAGCACTGAGAGAAAAAAATCCATTATCAAATCTCCCTGGCTGTCCTTACTGTCACAGTGCCTCACTGAGTTATCTTGATAAATATCAACTCTAGTTTGTTCTTATTTTACACTATTAGATTATAGAAGTACTCAAATATTCTAGTACTGTGTGAACAAACAATAATTTTAATAGAATATGAGGCTACAGAAAAGGCTGTAGCAAATTTCCATTGCTGAAAGAAGAGTCCACATCTGTAACATTAAACAGCATGTTCATACAGCATAGGTGAGAATTTCTTAGATTCTAAAGTGACTCCTGGGATGTTCTTGTTGGTTTTCACTGCCCCCTGCTGGTCCTGAGGATCCCTGTAGGGAGGATTTTGTGCAGGTTCATACTAGACTTCCTTCACTGTGTCTCTGGCACAGTAGTAGGTGGCTGTGTCCTCTGGTTGCATACTGTTCATTTTTAAGAATACCTGGCTCTTGGAGGTGTCCCTGGTGATGCTCAGTCTGGATTTGAGGGCTGAATTATATGCTGTGTTCCCATTATACGCTATTATTCCGATCCACTCCAGACCCTTTCCTGGGGGCTGGCGAACCCAGTGTACATTATAGCTAGTTAATGAGAAACCAGAGACAGTGCAGGTGAGGGACAAGGTCTGTGAGGGCTGCACCAGGTCAGGACCTGACTCCTTCAGCTGCACCTGGGACAGGACACCTGTGAAAAAGCAATCTTACCATCAGTCATACATTTGACAGATGTCATTCCTGAGTCCCTCTCCTGCAACTCTGAAACACTTACAGCTTGGAAAGGTGACCAGGCAGAGGAGCAAGACCAGGACAGCCATGCTCTGATGGAGGCTCTAAGGAGAAGTGGATGGGGCTTCTCAGCTAGGCCTGGGCTTTCAGCCTGAGCTGAGGGTTGCTTTGCATTGGGGGAGGTTCCTGAGGGGATAAAAGCGAGCACTCAACAGTGTTTCCATTTTTTTCCTCAGGTGACTGAAATTTGCCTTTTGCTTTTTAGAGGAAATGGAAATGTTGTCTCATGAACATTGTTTCTGGTTCTGTCTGGATTTCCAAGTCCAGATAAGCAGAAAATTAATTGATTCCCATGATTCAGGCCTTGGAAGCAAACACTGGGATGTTACAGCATGGGAGTCCACATTCGTACAGTGCAGGCAGAACAAGATGCCATAACCTTTATTAATTTGTATAGCTCTGTAGCTTGCAGGAGATAGTTTAGGATTTAACTCGGCCTGTTATTATTAGAGATTCTATTTAATCAATTAAAATTCTTTCTTTGGCTTCAGAATAGTGAGTCTTCTTCTGATCACTCTCATAGAAACTATATCTCATAGGAAAGCCCTTTAGAACATTCAGTACATGTGATTCTATGTGGTTTTGTGAAGGAGACCATAGGACAGATTTCCATCCTCTCTAACTGCACTCAGGCTTTTCTTCTACCCTCTCATGGATACAATTTTTGGAGACTAGTTTTTGTATCCACTGATTTCTGTATGTCTCTGTGTACTTTTATATGTCTCTTTTTCTCCCTCTTCAGCTTGTAGCACATACTAACCCAGGCTCCTAAATATTTTGGTATATTGGTGCTGGATATAATGTCACCTCTTCCTAACATATCACAAAGTGATACAATGCAACCAGGCTTGAGGATTATGTTGATGAGATAATAAATAATAAACTAGAGACTCCTAAGTGATGACAGGAAGTGGAGCCGAGGACAGGTATGACCATGAGAACCCTGTGCCTTGAGATGTTGATGATCATGGAGAATAAGAATTTGTAGTGCTTTTCTCCATTTGTGATATACACCACCAGAAGTGGGATGTGAGGAGCTGGGAATAACCTTTTCATTCAGGAAATATAAAATGTCTCTATATGTTCCTGGTATTCGGGACTTCATATTTTGTGCCTTTTATTTCATTACTCACAATCCTTGTAATGTTAGTAGCAGTGGTGGATACAAGTCTTCATATTGTGGAGACAGCCATTGTGTGCAACTTCTAATAAGTACTCACTTCCATGAGTGCTCTGTTACTCCTGTTTGTAACAAGTATATATTTTCAGGAATTATGCTCAGCACATTTTATTTGGGCTTGTCTGATAATTTCATTGTCTTTATAAACATTGGAAAAAAAATCACCCCAATAAATGTACATTTCTCACACTGTATTGTGGGAACTTGGTATGAGACTCCTAACTCAAGTAGTTTTATGTCTAGGTATACAGAGATTGTTTGTGTAATATACTGTCATCTCATGGTACTTGGCTTTTGATTTGTTCTTCTCCATAAAACTCTGCAGAAGGAAGACATTAAGAGAAATATCTTTTACAACAGAAAGGAGTTCTTGGTGAAGCTGCACATTATTTATAATTTTCTTCTACTTGAGAGATAGTTCTTTGGTCTTGTTTTTGTTAACTCATTTTTTAACTTTTGTCTTGTGCAAGGTAGAAATTCATTTAATGGGTCTTGTTTTAATGTGTGTATCAACTTGTGTACTTTTGTGGTGGTTAGAACTTTGTCAGCATAATTCATGAGAGTGTCATCAATGCATAAGGAACTTCAGTTTGAAAATGGCTGCCTTAGGTCTGTAATGAAAGTTGTTTGGGCATTCTCTTGATTAATGATTGTTGTGGGAGAGACCAGCCAAATAGGGACAGTGGAATCCATTAGCAGTAATGCTTAGATTATATAAGAATTCAAGTTGCATAATCACAGAGAGGAAGCCATTAAGCAGTGTTACTTTGCTTACTCTTTTTTCCATAATATTCATATCGATTATTTGGAAATTTCACAGTTTGTTCCTACATTTAGCTTTCTATCTTCAGGTTATGCACTGATTTTCCATTCTGTTGAACTACATCCTTAAATATGAAATCCATTCACTTTCATATTTTGTTTGGTTTTTGTGTTGATTTATTTAAGTAGATAAGGGACTAGGACAATTTCCATGTTAAGTGTTCAATATTTGGGTATCAGGAACCACTTACTCCTGGCCCATGTGTATTTATCATTATCTATTCAATACTACATGCCCCCTAGGCAAATACTAATGTGTTTTTGGTTCATGTATTACAGACAAGTCTGAGGGATTCCTATGAATACTCAGCCCTATTTTCACAATATCTCCAGACTTCACAGAATACCAGCGTGTCTCAGTGACTATATGGCTCAATGGTATAGCCAAACACACACACACAGACACACAGACACACAGACACACACACAGAAACACACATACACACAGACACTTCATCACCTGAACCACAGCTGTATCAGTGTTTGATTTGATGTGTGATGTGCATGTATTGTGTGAGAATGATGGTGAGGATGGAGCCCATATGGATTATTGTGTCAGTGACACTGCCTGATTTCCCTGTTGGCTGTTAGTTGATTTCCCCACAGTGCTGTACTCAGGGAATCTAACCAAGTCTCCTCTCTGAATGTAGGATTCTATATTCTTCATAATCTTTGCTTCTGAATCTGATACTGGTCCCAAGATAGAATCATGTCTGTGATGCTCTGCACTTTGTTCGTGTCTGGGCATATGCTGCATTTTAAAATGTATGTGTAATAGGGCTGTGGAGATACCTGTGTGGTTAAAGTTCTTGCCACACATAACCTTTGAGTGGCATCCAGTCTCTAAGCTTTGATCTTCATGGCTAGAAAAAGAATTGGGTATATTATTCAGTCAGTAATCCCACCTCTTGGATTTGGAGGCAACATGATCACTGGGAATAGGATCATAGCAGTTCACTGGCCAACCAGTCTTCCTACCAGGTAAGATCATAGCTAGTGAGAGAATGAACATGTCTCAAAACTATGGTGTTGATTGACAGAGGAAGTAATATTATGTCAGCCAGTACACACACACACACACACACACACACACACACACACAAACATGGATAAAGAAACATTGTATTTAAACACAAAACACACATCACATGGAAAGCAGAATTCTAAATACATATGTGGATCTATCAAGGTGTATTACACACTATACTTTTAGTAAGACTTCCTGAGTGTAATATCTAGAGGCAGCCCAGACACAGAGGAATCCAATCCTCTGTCCCTCTTTACTGTTTTTTCTTTGACCCAAAGTTCCATGTACTCTCAGTGTCCCCTACTGCTCCTGAGATAAAAGCAAGGAGGTTCCTGTCTGAGCTCATTGTAAATTCATAGCATATTTTACTTGAACACTACTACAAGACTGTATCCTCAGACTTCAGGCTACTCATTTTCTGGTACAGGCTTTTCTTGGCAATGTCTCTGAAAGTTGTGAATATGTCCTTCATGGTACTGACATAGGTTATGTTACTACAATTTTTATTGATGGATTAGACCCACTCCAGGACCTTTCCTGAAGGCTGGCAGACCCAGTGCAACATATGATCCATAAGCTGTACAGAAGTGCTTCAAGAACTCTCCAGGCTGCATCAAGCTTCAAGTAGACTGGACCAGCTGCACTAAACAATGGACTATTGCAAGCACAAAGAATTCTTGTTGGAAAACTGTCAGAGAAACCCACTGTGTCT